CACCACCACCGCCACCATCATCGCCACCACCACCACCACCACCGCCGCCGCCACCACCACCACCACCACCATCGCCACCATCACATATTTTTATAAGGGTATTTATGTCTTTAAAACATATTTCATTTCTATTCCTTAAATCAACCAAACACTGTAATATAATTCCTAAAGTCTATTCTTTCCGCGAACCAAACAATAGAATACAATTCCTATTCTATTCCTTGCCCATTCCATTCCTTATGGAATAACATTCCTATTACCTCAAAATTCATTTCGTGAACCAAACGTGCTGTTAATTAATTAAAATGTAATGCTTTACTGGCCCTTTTGGTTCACGAAGTAGGCTGGGAATGACATATCATTCCCAGTAATAGGCCTATTCCTTTGTTTGGTGACCATTTCTATTACCAGGAGTAATATTCCTGGTAATAGCCTATTACCTCAAATAAGGTAATAGCTATTACTATGGCCCCCCCGAGTATTAGCCTATTACTGAACGCTCAAGAATAGATTTTAGAATCTATTTTTTAACCCATTTCTTTAACCTAATTTTTTTATCCTATATATAAATTTATCCTATTTCACCACCGTCGTCGCCACCACCACCATCACCGCCGCCGCCGCCACCACCACCACCACCATCGCCGCCGCCGCCACCACCACCACCATCGCCACAACCGTCGCCGCCCCCACCACCACTGCCACCGCCCCCACCACTACTACCACCCCCAGCACCACCACCACCACTACCACCCCAGCACCACCACTACCACCACTGCCACCACCATCGCCGCCGCCGCCACCAAAACCACCAGAACCACCACCACCGCCACAACCGTCGCCGCCCCCACCACCACTGCCACAATCGTCACCGTCACCACCACCACCGTCGCCCCCACCACTGCCACCGCCACCACCACTACTACCACCCAGCACCACCACCACCATTGCCACCACCACCATCACCACTACCGCCACCACCACCACCACCGCCACCACCACCGCCGCCACCACCACCACCACCACCATCGCCACCATCACATATTTTTATAAGGGTATTTATGTCTTTTAAAACATATTTCATTTCTATTCCTTAAATCAACCAAACACTGTAATATAATTCCTAAAGTCTATTCCTTCCGCGAACCAAACAATAGAATACAATTCCTATTCTATTCCTTGCCTATTGCATTCCTTATGGAATAGCATCCCTATTACCTCAAAATTCATTTCATGAACCAAACGTGCTGTACGAGTTTATGAAAAAATTAGTCTGTATATTTTAATTAAAAAGTACTACATATCTCCCATGAAATGATCTTAGGTTGAATCTCAATCCGACAGAGCATTTGGGATGATGTAAATCAACTGAACATGAACCACAGAGGCTAGACCTTTGCTCACTGCCGCTGATGAGATTCAATCCAAAAGTACTACATATCTCCCATGAAATGATCTTAGGTTGAATCTCAATCCGACAGAGCATTTGGGATGATGTAAATCAACTGAACATGAACCACAGAGGCTAGACCTTTGCTCACTGCCGCTGATGAGATTCAATCCCTGGTCATTCTTCCAAACTTTCACCTCTATGACCAGTTGAGCTGCCCATGCAGGTATGTTTCCATAATCATAATTGGGGTTTGGGGCTTTATTCTTCTTTCATGTCATCCAAATGTAAAATGTTTACATCATTTTGAGGAAACGTTACGCTGTGAGCACGTGCCCACCTTTGCAAGGTGGGCACGATTTTAGATTCATAATTTCTATACGGTAGATCCATAATTTCTATACTGTAGATTCATAAAATTTATACTTTAGATTCATAATTTCTAAATCGTAGATTCATAATTTAAATACAATAACTTCATAATTTCTATACAATAGATTCATAATTTCTATACTGCAGATTCATAATATCTGTACTATATATTCATAATTTCTATACTGTAGATTCATAAAATTTATACTTTAGATTCATAATTTAAATACAATAGATTCATAATTTCTATACTGCAGATTCATAATATCTGTACTGTAGATTCATAATTTCTAAACTGTATAGTAATCAATTATGGACATATAATTCTCTGATTTGTGAAAACAGAGTTCAACAATTGAAATTTAAAGTATAAAATTTATTTACAATATAGAAATTATGAATCTATAATATAAAAATTATTGATATGGGGAACCATGCAAGGTGGACATGTGCTCACAGCATAATTTGCCATTTTGAGGATGATCATGTGGCATACATTATATATGCAATATCTCTTGATAGGCTAATAATGTATACGAGTTCAACTCGAAGATGGAAAATGAATATATTTTGAGTTTAATTTACACACACTCAATTAAGGATGTAGCTATTTTCAAAAAAAAATTAAGGATGTAGCTAGGGGCTGAGTTAGAAAATTTTGTTCAGTGATAGTAAATTTTAAAACAAAAAAGATTTTTTTTAAAAAATAATAATAAAACACATAGGAAGCACAGCTATAAATATTGTTGGATATGGACGAAAAATAAAATACATCAAAAATTTATAAAAATAATCATAACAAAATATGAAACATAATTACTTTGATAAAATGATTCGAATATAAAACACGTTATAAATCACACATATCATTATTAATATATTTAAAAAGGAGAAAAATGACGCTTTTAGCCCCTCAATTATTTTACTTTTGGAAATTTAGCCCATGTCAATTGATTTGAGCAAACATAACCGTTTAATTGTTCATAATGTAGCACATTTGATCCCTTATGAGACTCGAACCCACAACCTCCCATATGGGAGTCCAACCCGAGAACTATTTGTGAATAAAGTGCTTGGCATCCCTCATGTTATATAATTAGAATTGTTTTTAATAATTTATATAATTTATTTATTCAAAATTAAAAATATTTTTTATTATAAATAAATACATGAATTTAAAAATTAAACAAATTTTAAAAAATATTATATATATATATATATATATATATATATATATATATATATATATATATATATATATATATATATATATATATATATATATATATATATAAAAGCGAAAATCAATTTCAACATGCTTCGCCCGAGCATGAAAAACAAGATTATCGCAAAGGTAGGTGGCTAGAGTACCAGAATGAAGACCAAGTTCACGAAGAAGAGATACAACCCATTTGACCTCGGCTGCAACGTCTGCTAACCCCAACAGTGCGCTGTTTACGTGAAACCCAGGATATTAAGTTGGTGCCAAGAAAAACTGCATACCCACTAGTGGACTTGCGATCTATCGGACAACCAGCCCAGTCGGAATCGGAGTAAGCGTGAATGTCAGAAGATGGTGAGAGAGATAGACGGAGACCATTGTCCAATGTACCCTTAATATACTGTAACACACGCTTGAGGAGGACCCAATGATCAACTGTTGGGGCGTGCATAAATTTACAAAGACGGTTTACTGCATACGAGAGATCCGGACGAGTAATAGTCAAGTACTAAAGAGCCCCTGCCAAGCGGTGATACTGAGTGGGATTATCAAAAATCTCATCGGACGGAGTGACCGTTTTAGTAATGGAGGCCGGGGTCGTGAGAGGTTTGCAATCAGTCATACCAGCCCTGTTTAAAAGATCACCCATATACCGTCGCTGCGAGAGTAAACAAAGCCCATTACCGAATAGAGTCTCAATACCCATGAAAAAAGATGGTTAACCAAGGTCCCGTATTTTAAAGGCCGCTGCTAGACTCTGGATAAGAGTGTTAATGAGAGGGGAATCATTACCCATCATGATAATGTCATCCACATAAACGAGCAGAAAAACACGAGTAGACCCAGCAGAGTAATGAAAGAGAGACACATCGGTCTTGGAGGCTAAAAAACCTGTAGCAATCAAAAACTCATGAAGGCGCTTAAACCACGCACGAGGGGCCTGTTTAAGCCCATACAAAGAACGGCAAAGATGACACACATGATTAGGATGTCCAGGTTCCTCATACCCTGGCAGTTGTCACATGTATACAGTCTCAGCGAGATGCCCATTCAAGAAGGCATTATGAACATCAAGCTGACGGAGGGTCCAATTATGAGAGACAGCGAGAGAAAACAAAAGCCGGACAGTCGTGGGTTTGACCACAGGACTAAAAGTATCAAAGAAGTCTTCCCCCGCTACCTAATTAAACCCTTTGGCTACAAGTCGGGCTTTGTAGCGTTCAATAGACCCATCTGCCTTGCGTTTTGTGCGATAAACCCATTTACAACCAATGATATTCATGCCCGGTGTTGCAGGAATAAGATCCCACGTGTGATTGTGAAGCAAGGCATTAAATTCCTGGTCCATGGCATCACGCCATTGAGGATGACCAACAGCTTGGGTGTAGCAACTTGGATCAGTAGGACCATTGGTTACCGTAAGAGCATGAAACAGTTCATTAGTGCCATGTGTCATACGACGGGGACGCATTACATGAGCCCGTGGTTGCGGGTTAGTGACCCTACGTCTTCGAGTAGGACGACTGCCATGAGCTGCTGGTGGTGCGGCTTCAGGGAGAACTAGAGAGTTTGATGTGACCTCAGCGGATGGTATGATTGGGCCTGAACCCCATGCCACATTATGATCAATTGACTGTACTGTATCCTGTTCTTTTAAAGCTGTAGAAAAAGGAAAAACAGTTTCGTCAAATCGGACATAACGACAGATAAAAGTCTTTCCAGTATCAAGGTTTAAACAACGATACCCTTTAAAGGAAGTAGGATAGCCTAAAAAACACATGAGGCAGACCTATACTCGATTTTATGACGATTGTAGGGTCGTAAGTAAGGATAGAATAAGCATCCAAAGACTCGAAGAAACGTGTAATCGGGAGGTTTGCCGTGCAACCGAAAATATGGGGTGTCGAATTGTATGGCTGACGAGGGGAGACGATTTATGAGATAAGTAGGAGATTCAAAAGCAGAGTCCTAGTATTTTAATGGAACGGACCCCTGAGCCAGAAGAGCCAAACCGGTCTCAACAATCTGTCGATGCCGGCGCTCAACACGGTCGTTTTGCTCGTGGGTGTATGCACAGGACTGTCGGTGTACAATCCCAAGAGTATTGAATAAGCTGTGCAAGCGACGATACTCACCCCCTAAGTCAGACTGGATGACCTTGATAGAACGTGAAAACAAACGTTCTACCATGGCCCGAAACACATCAAACACCTTATATATATATATATATATATATATATATATATATATATATCAGTTTTTACATGGAGTGGATAATACCAACAAAAACGACTGTGGTCATCCACGAATAAAACAAAATAATAAAAGCCATCTGCAGAAACAACAGGTGCAGGGCCCCAAATATCTAAATACACTATATCAAGAACAACTCTACTAGTGTATGTTAATTTGTCTAAAGGAAAACGACTAGACTTGCCTAACTGACAAGCCGAACAAAGACTCAAAGAACTCAATTTTTGTGGCGTAACGGGACAGGACCGAAGAGCACGTTGTAAGACACGAGCATGCGGATGGCCTAATCGACAGTGCCAAACTGCGGACGAAGCCCGAGCCGATAGAAAAGCCAGGTGAGACCGCGGAATGGTTAAAGAGTAGAGACCACCCAAACTGGAACCTTTAAGCAGCACCACCTTGGTTGTGCAGTCCTCCACAACAAAATATTCGGGATGAAATTCAAAAAAGACATTATTATCAGTGGTAAACCGGTGAACGGATAATAACGAAACTGAAAGATCAGGAACATGCAAAATGTTTGACAATTTTAAATTTCTAGAAACAGATGGTATTGTTGCACAACCAGTACTAGAAATACTTAAACCTGTACCTTTACCAACACGGAGAACGTCGTTGCCGGAGTAACCCTCGGATTGTGACATGACGGTCGGATCGGGAGTGGCGTGAGAGGATACGCCGGTGTCGGGATACCAGGATGCAACCTCCGGCGGAGGACCACCATCGGAATGGACCGCAACATTCGCCTGTGGGGATGGTGGGTGATAGGAGTATCGCCGGAAACAGTAGATGGCCGTGTGTCCGTGCGACCGGCAAATTTGACACCGGGGAGAACCACCACGTCCACGGCCTTATCCGCCACGGCCACCACTACAATTCTGCCACTGGTTGGTGCGACCGCCAGCACGGTTCTGCCGGCCTCCTCCGTTCTGCCTGCCCCGAGTAGCAACCATAGCAGTAGGGCCCGCACCAGTCAAGAAATCATCAGAATGGATGAATGTCTGAGCGTGAAGATAGTCCGATAATTGAGGGAGGGTGACCGGAGCGCAAGATACCGCCAGGCTGGAGGCCATTGCCCGGAATTCTGGCCGGAGTCCCCTGAAGACGTACAGATTCTGCTCATCGAGGGGTATCGGCCGACCGGCTTGGGCAAGGTCTTCGACAAGCAGTTGAGCGCGACCAAGGTATTCAGCAGTCGACATCTCCCCTTGGCGAAGTGCCTGAAACTGGCCAAGAAGGTTGAGGCACCGGATTCTCGTCGACGAGTCTAGGGCGGTTTCGATAGAGGACTATACTTCTCGCGCGGTGGAGCGGCCTACCGCAAGATACATGACCTCCTCGGAGAGGGAGGAGATCAACAACGACAAGATTGATTGATCTTGTTGGACCCATATGGCAAAGGCCGGATTGACAGCAGTGGACGTGGCTTCATCGGAGATGTTCTTGCCATCCGCTTGAGTGGAGATAACCAGCGGCAATGGGCACGGCGTGGTGCCGTCAACGAAGCCGGGAAACCTCTGGCCCCGGAGGAATGGAATGAGTTGTGTACGCCAGAAGAAGTAGTTCCGTGTCGTGAGCTTGATCGACACAAAATGGTGAGCCGAGGTGAGGTGGTTCGGGGCAGTGACAGATGGCGTCGGAGCAGCGGTAGTGCACATTGTTCGTTCGGAGCCTAACAATCTGATACCATATAAGTGTATATCTGTTGATTGATCATTATCTCAAAGGAAATATTACAATATATAAACCTGTCTAAGACTATTCTAAGTAAGGTAAGAATCGGTTATATAATACACAGGATCGTAATAGATGATTTACAAAGATATACATTAATATGTAGGAATTTCGGTTGAATACTAATAGTAATTTTTATTCTATATTCTCGAAGGCTGAGCATACAACTAATTAATGTGAACCTTTACTGAGCTCGGTCTCGACCTTGTGAGGTAGGGCTGTTTAACTCGAACAGGGTCACTTAGAATACTGAGCATCGCTTCTAGATCGCGATCTGACCTCACCGCCTATTGGCCAGCCAGGAATACCGCAATGCGTGGACACCATTGTGCAACCTCCAAGCCCACCGAGTGAATGCGTAAACACGTTGTTAGGAATAATTGTAAGATTTTGTTGAGCTAAAATGTAATTTGAAAAATTTGATTAGTTTCCCCAATTTTGTTTTAGAGTCTAGTATTACTTTTAGTTTAAGCAAGTATCACAAGAATTTTGAACTAAAGGGAAGTCACGAAAATTATTCATGTCAAAGAAAAGAAGAAAAATAAATAGCTATCTTTCTTGGAACCAAAAATGGCGTGCATTATTATGTTCTTCATGAAGGTGTAGCAAGATTGATAGCAAGGCGCTTGTAGAAGATTAAAGAAATGCCGAGTTCAAACCCAAGAGCCAACAATTATTAGAATACAAAAGGTTGTCTCTAGTCAAAAGTCAACTGTAACATCCCCAATTTTGAAACATACAAGCTAAGGCATCAAGCTAAGAAAACAACTAAATAAAGCTTAGACTGAAATTAAACACTGCGGAAGCAAACTAAGTTAAGAGAGGGTGTTATACCACATTTAAGTCATGCTGACCTAAATGCTAAGACAAGTCTACACTGCCAACACACCATATATCATAATCCCAAAATAAGTTAAGTATCAAGTACTTATTACATCATAAGTGGCTCACGTGCCCAAAGTCTAATCAATATGAGGAAAACTGCTAAACAAAAGACATAGAACTTAAGCTCGAACTAATGCACTCTCAAACGAGAATATACTCCATACCTGAAAATAATTTAAAAATATTAGCGAGAAATGCTAAGTAAATCCACTCCAACACGTAAAACTACGCAAGTATACATTTATATCCAAAATAGGTTTCGCAACGGTATGACTACATATATATATATATATATATATCATACCAACAAACTCAGTAGAAGGATTCCAAAGGATAGATACTCAATCAATAAAGCTCAATTCAAGAATAAAGGTTCAATCTATAGGACACTTGCAACTAGACTCATTTCAAGGAAGACAAGAAAGAACATGCTCTTAGACATCAATAGGCAATACAAGAGATACAACCAAGTTAACCAACCAAGGAATTTTAAGAGTTCTCACAACAACATGGTATAGTGGTATATATACATCGCCAAAGGAATATATATCATTAATCAAACCACAACAATACATAATATCCAACCATACACCAATCCATCTGAAACACTAGTTCAACCTTATCCACCAATAATGAGGCCGAAGCTCCTAGCCACCGATACTATTCAAATGGAGCCGAAGCTTTAAGCCATCGATATAAATGGAGCTGAAGCTCCTAGCCACCGAAACAAATGGAGCCGAAGCTCATATTCCACCAATCCATAATATAGTATATTCATATTCAAAGAAATGTGTATATATACCAACATATAGACGAGGCAAAGAATTTGCAAGGCACCAAAATATACTTAAGTTGCAACAAAGATAGACTGAACCAGAGATAGACCAAGAATGCACTGAACCATAGATAGACCAAGAATGCACTGGAGGCAAAATAAATGGGAACATACTGAGACATAAACTTAACGGGAGTGAAAGGTAGGGCCAGAGTGCCCGCCACTCGGTAGTGTTTGGCGGGCTTGGCCTCCCCCCCATTCACAACCGTGAGTGTCACGGTAGTGTATGGCAGGCGGAGTTTGCGAGCTTGGCCACCCCGCCAAACTCCGCTTTTACACTTGGCGGGGTGGGGGGGGGGGGGGAGGGGGGGGAGGGGGGCTGTTTCGTGGTGGTCACCTACCCGTGACTCACCCCCTCCAGACCAAATCATCATAGACGAACAGACACGAAGCAGAAACTAAAATAATCAACATAGTAGCCAAAATATTCAACAAAAATCCCCTTGAATCAAAACCAAGACACCACTAAAACTATAAGGATTCAAGAACAAAAGAAATAGCTCAATAATAACGCAGAACTCATCATGAATCATACATTTATCAAGAATAACACCAAAATATACTCAGGGATTTCCAAACATCAAGAACACATATATGAGTTTGAAAATAGGTTTGAAGGACGTGGAATTTACCTCTTGAAGAACTACCTACCCAAACCAAAATCTCCACAAGTTCAACCTAGCAATTCCCCAGTACCTTAGTCCTCTACAACCCCAAAACCCAACATAAGAATAAGAAAACCTTAAAGATTGCAGATTAAGCAATAGAAAAATATTGCATGAGAATACACTTACCAAAATATTCTTCTTAGAAAGTTACATGATGAATCTTGTTGTGATGGAGATAGAATGAAAGTGAGGGGAAAAATAGAGAGGATTGATCCTGGAAGATTATATCTCTGTACTAGGGCAAGGGGTAAATTTTAGAAGAGTTAATGTCATTTTTGGTCCTAGACTTATTAGGGTGTCGACAGTTTTCATCCTCCATAATAAAAATTGTCAATTTGTAGCCACGTTTATTGGTCGTTGGACACTTTTAGTCCTCCATTAAGGAAGCCGTCCGTTGACCGTGAAATAGAAGGGCAAAGCTATCTTTTTATGCCTAACTCTTGCACCCAGAACATTCCACCCCTTTCGCAGCATTTGCCTCCTCCTGCTTAAGCCTTCTCCGACCGGCGCCCTCATCCACAATCGATCCTCCACCGCCATCAACCATCACATCGTCCTCGACCGCAGCTAACTCCACCTTCACCTCCACCTCTGGTCTCCTCTCACCCTTCTCCTTCTAGACTCATCCTTCGATACTCTGCAATAGCATGACAAATCGGCCACAACTAGAGCAATATGTCAGCACTTTCTCCACCTCAATCCTCTGCCAAAATCCATTCAATTCCCCTTCACCTCCAACAATTTCCACCCAAACTCGATCAATCCAAAGGTTTAGAGGCATTAAGTTATACTCTAACTTTGGTCACATATTCGACTAAGCATCTCAAAACTAAACAGATGAACAGGTAGAAAAAGCAATTGGATCTATACTAAAGTCAATGGAGAATCTCTGTTGCCTTCCCCCCTCTGGTGTGAATGCTAGAATCACAGAAAGTATCAATTACAGTCAACAATAGCAGCAGTTTTTCAACATAAATCGAGAATGAATCTAAAGACTAAAAGATGCAATGTTCTTCCTTCCCTATACTGTCAATTCAAAAAAATTCCCAGAAATAAGGTGATTCCATTCCAGGGTATCATAATTAGTTCATGTCTATGAATACAATTACCCAACATTTGCAAAGAAACATTAGGATAAGAATATAAGATTATGAGTGATGGGAGTTGATACCAAGGAGAAATCCCAGGAGGATTAGTTGACTTTGAGGCCATGGAGACTTCCTGTAGATCCCAATAATTTTCCATGGTGGAATGATAAACTTCACACATTAAATTAGTCTCGCAAGTGGCTGTGCCTAACTGCCTATTAACCATATCCTACTACCATGGCCGGCACCGGCGGTATCGCTGCCGAAAGCGTCTAGGAACTTGGCTATCTCTACCACGGCGGTGTGACTGCCGTCGGAAACCACAGGTTGCTGTTGCTGGGGGGAGGGTGGGGGGGGGGGGACAACTGTTCCACTAGCCATCTCAAATCGCCCAAATCAAGAATCACGCCTTTACCATTCCCTATCCTAGTCCCTATTAGGCCACCTAGTTCCTTGATCTTCATGGGAATCTCGTTCTTGTTGGATAATAATAAATCTTTGTCGATTGGAATGAATTGAACATTCTTGAGAGGGCCTTCACCGACAACGCCCAGTTTTCCTTTCTCAATCCTCCGAAATAGTTTCTTTGCCACCACCTCCGGCTCGCCTTCGCCGACCAAAGTCGGGTTTCTTTTTTTGGTCCGAGCGAGAATTTCTACAACTTTTCTCAATTCTTCATTCATCTGATTCCCCACCTGCCCTGAACCTCGTCCTTGCTGCTGTAGCCGGGGATTCAGATACAAATTCCGATTCGAGAGCGAAATTTTGGGCGGCGCCGGTTCTTTCGCCCAGAATTGAGAGGTCTGCCCCTCCCCTTTTTCTTCGGAGATACGGCAGAGGGTTTCTTTTTTTGGTCCGAGCGAGAATTTCTACAACTTTTCTCAATTTTTCATTCATCTGATTCCCCACCTATCCTGAACCTCTTCCTTGCTGCTGTAGCCGGGGATTCAGATACATATTCCGATTCGAGAGCAAAATGTTGGGCGGCGCCGGTTCTTTCGCCCAGAACCGGGAGGTCTGCCCCTCCCCTTTTTCTTCGGAGATGCGCTGGTCTCCGCCGCATGCGTGCTGATAGGAAACAAAGATCCACAGACAGCAAACTGCACATCAAGGGGCGACAACGGGGATATTATCGCAGACGGCTTCCTTGACGGAGCGTACTTCCGCGGCCTCCCTCGATATTATCACTGTGATGACGGAGCCTTCGAAAGAATAGTTAGAAGAAGACCAGATAAAAAGACATGTTTGCCCTTCAATTAGACGGCCAAGAGACGGATTGAGTGACGGAGGATCATATAGTATGATATATATGGGTTTAGGGTGGTTTATAGGAGCATTATGTTGTGCAACCGTGTGCACCATGCAAGGTGCACACGGAATTGGATCCATAATTTCTATACTATAGATCCATAATTTTTATACTATAGATTCATAATTTCTATACTATAGATTCATAATTTCTATACTATAGATTCATAATTCTAAACTGTATAGTTATCAAATTATGAACATATAGTTCAGTGATTTGTGAATACAGAGTTCAACAATTGGGAATATGAACATTGAAAATTATGAACATAGAGTTTTGTAATTGTAAATATAGAGTTCAATAATTATGAATTTATAGTATAAAAATTATGAATCTATAGTATAGAAATTATGGATCTATAGTATAGAAATTATGGATCCAATTCCGTGTGCACCATGCATGGTGCGCACGGTTGCACAACATAATTTGCCGTGGTTTATATAATAAAGTTATTTGTGTTCAAGAATAGTTTAATGGGCTTTATATATATATAATGTCCTAAGCCCCCTCTATATATATATATATATATATATATATATATATATATATATATATATATATATAGAGGGGGCTTAGGACATTTGGTTAGTAAAATAAATTGTGAGAATAATATGTCTAAAGCCAATTGTAAAATAATTGGGTTTAGGCAATTTACTAAATTATTTAATAATAAGAAAATAATCTTTTTTTGATAATATTTATATTTATAATAATATTATTTGAAAACACGGGGTGTTACAATCAACTCAAGTGGCCAAGGTGATAGCAAGAAGGGGACTTTGGAAGTGATTAGTGGTTCGAATCTATTAGAGAAGAATTTTCTCAAGTAGCATACTTGTTAGCAAGGATGGTCAAAGGAGGTCTCAAGTTCGAATCCCATAGAGGTCAAATTATTCTAGTAGCAAAAATGTTAGCAGAAGTACTAACAAGCTTGCTAGAAGTAGCACACTTGTAATATTTGGTGGTTCAAGTCTCATCTTCAACAAAATAAAGTTTGCTAGAAGTAGCACACTTGTAATATTTGGTGGTTCAAGTCTCATCTTCAACAAAATAAAGTGTGAAGGAAAGGTGCTAGCAAGATATGTGAAATTAAGGTGCAATGGTCGAATCTTCTTGACAACAGTTTGGTTACTAGAGTTAGCATAAATGCTAACAAACTTGCTAAAAGTAGCAAGGTTTGTAGCACTCCTTGAAGAAAGTCTCGTCAAGTAAAAATACATAAATGCTAGCATGGTTGCTAAAACTAGCAAAACGTGTAGCATTCCATGAAATGATAGCATCTTGCTAAAAGTAGCAAGGTTTGTAGCATTCTTTGAAGTGAAGTCACAGCCAATTCAAAGAGGATGCAAGAATGGATGCTAAAAGTAGCATAATTTGTAGCACACTTTGGAGTGAGGGTACGGGCCGGGCAGCAACAAGCTTGAAAGGAAAATCATTTAGCATGAGAATTAGCACATATTACAGCAAGACTTATAGCTTAGATTGGCAAAACTAAGATCGTAGCTCGAAAGACAGCAAGGAAAATAACAAAGAATTGTACACAAATACTCTCAAAACGAAGACGAAGACGAAGACGAAGACAAGATGGAGAAAAGATCAAGAATATAGATCAAACTAAAGCCTACAGTATATGTGATCAACCAACATTCATCAACAAAATAATCAAGAAGCCAACCAAACTAAGAAATCAAGGAAGATGGAGAAAAGATCAAGAATATAGATCAAACTAAAGCCTACAGTATATGTGATCAACCAACATTCATCAACAAAATAATCAAGAAGCCAACCAAACTAAGAAATCAAGGAGATCAGTGAAGTAGCATACAAGAAAAGATACAGACCAAGTTACAAGAAGGAGATCAATCTATCAGAAGCAACTTGAAAATCAACAAAAAAGAGAAAGATCAATATGTCATAAGCGGCTTGATTTGAAAAACAAAATTCTCAACCTATCAGGCTACAAGTTCCAAGATTTCAAAAATCAAATTATCCCGCCCCAACGGATACATTTGAATATTTATAAATGGCATCAATGAGACTTGAAGATTCAGACAGAGAAGAGAGCAACTGCACAAATCTGAGATCACGAAGCATCAAAGCTAAAAAATCTTCAAGTTTATATACTTCATAGAAACATCTAGAAAAGAGACTAAGCCTTAATTAATAGTCTCAAAAGTTGGAGAGAAAAGAAAATTATATTTTCTTGTAAAGAAATCTCTACTGAGTGTAGAAAGAAGGAAGAGTAACAAGAGGAGCTTGTGAAAACCCTATTGAGTGTAGCTTTGTGCGAGACACTCGTTGGTGTAGGGGTGTAGCTTTGTGCGAAACACTCGTGGTTGTAGAAGTGATGAGTTGGTGAAATAGCACTTTTTGCTCACTGTTGTATCTTAGTGATTAAAGATAGTGAATTTCCCTAGAGATAGGAGAAGAGTGGAGTAGAAGGATTACACCACCTTCAAACCACTATAAAATTTCTCTCTCATTTACTTACTACTCTCACGTACACTTTGCTTTCCATGAATAATCTCTGCTCTCACATATAACTTGCATACATTTCTATCATATTGCATGTATTGAACACTTCACTGAACACTTCATCTTTGATCATAACACTTTACATACATTTTTTCCGATGTACACTCTAAGTAATTAGATTTTCATAAATCTGATTTACTTAGAGTTATTTTGATAAAGTGTTATAAATTTTTAATTTGCTAGAAAAGTCTATTCACCTCCCTTAGCTTCTAAAATTTTCACCACCCATTCGGGACAAACACATGTGTCATGCACTGGGTGTCTGCCCATGTGTTCCTTCCCATCCCCTATAAATAACTCATTTAATGCTAGACGTGGGGGACTTTTGGCATTTCTACCTAACCATTGTCAGCTCAGGACTCTCTGACCCATTGTCACTTTGCCCGAGCTCAACCACTTAAACGAACAAGCATACTCACCTGTGAGAGAATACAAACCAAACCCAAATACTACTACTCGTTTGTATACACCCGCGTATTAACCACATCAGACATCAAATGAAGTTAACCAAATTTAATTTTCCAAATAAGTTACGATGTCTTGCGTGAATCTTATTAGTTTGGTGGGAACAATCATACTAGATTGGCTTATTTACGGGAGCTTTAGATGAACAAGGAAACTGATAATCATTAGAATAACTGAATCAGATTACAATTAATACTCTCAGGAGAGAGAACTATCTAATAGCCAATTGACTAGGACTAAACTAGAATACATTGACTAGTAACATTATTAATAATAACAATAATAAACTATAGTCTAACACTCCCCCTCAAGCTCAAGGTGGTGACTCACCACATTGAGCTTGGTACGAAGAACAACAAAGCGTGATGAAGGAAGTGGCTTCGTAAAAATGTCAGCAAGTTGGTCTTTAGTGGAAACGAAGTGAACCCGAAACTCACCAGATGAAACTTTGTCTCGGACGAAGTGGTAGTCGACTTCAACATGCTTGGTGCGCGCGTGAAAAACGGGATTGGCACATAAGTATGTTGCACCAAGATTATCACACCATAGAGTCGGAGGGGTAGCCGAGTCGAGACCTAACTCACGAAGTAAGGATAAAACCCAAGTCACCTCTGCACAGACGTCGGCTAGACCTTTATACTCGGCCTCAGTGGATGAACGAGCTACTGTGCGCTGCTTCCTCGAGACCCATGAGATGAGGTTGGTACCGATGAAGACAGCATAACCACTGGTGGACTTGCGATCTTCTGGAGACCCAGCCCAGTCTGAATCCGAGTAGGCATGGATTTCAGAGGTCCTGGACGGTGAGATGCGGAGTCCGTAGTCAAGAGTTCCTTTTATGTAGCG